TCTCCAGTCACTGTTGGGGTGCTTACAATGCAAACCCTATACAGGTGCAGGGAAAGTCACAGAAGGAGGGGGCAGAAAGCGTGTAAGAACCAGTGGACCAAGATGCCTGCTGTGAACCAGTATTTCTTGAAGTGACAGGGAAGCTACACCCATGAAAGCTCAACAATATAGATGCCTAAACAAGGCCTGCGTAATGACAATACCAGTCAACATGCTAAGTTGGATGGGGGAAATGTCACAGGGAGGATCTCGACATTAGAAGCGCTAGAGGCAAATGATGGCTATTGGGAAAGGGACAAAGAGTTTGTACAAGGATGAGACCCCTGGTAGTTTATCCAATCCCAAGTGATCCAATCCCAAGTGGTCAGCCCTGAGCACATGTGTAGCACTAAATGGACTCTATAGGCGTGTGTGTGTGTGTGTGTGTGTGTGTGTGTGTGTGTGTGTGTGCGTGCGCGCATAGTAAGAAGAGATCATGACATTGAAAGGGATTGGGGGCAAGAAGTTGGAGAGAGTAGAGGGAGGGGCAAAGATGATATAAGTACAGTACTCATGTATGAAATTCTCAAAAAATTATAAAATTTAGTAAGGCATACTTATTTTGAAAAGTGTAAGATGTGTTCATTAACTACTGAAATATCAAAGAGCAATGATTTTAACTCTCCTGGGTGGATTGAGACCAAACGCTGGAGGAAGGGTGTGGACTGTGGGAACTGTTTAACCAGCCTCTGTGCAGAACACAAGCCAGTATTGTTTGCATCAGAAACTGTGCAGATCTTTCCCAACTAATAGCATACAACATGAGAGCAATATGGTGATCTCCGTGCTAACACAGTTAGCTAGTTAGAATATTGCAGCATTTGTCTAGGTTTTCATGTTTCTGAATAAATCCACCTTGTTTAGATCATTTGCCCACCTCATCATAACAATAGTCGTAAAAGAAGATGAATAAAATTGTATTGCTGTGCCCAGATATGTGCACATCAGGAATAGCCACACATTTTACAACAGATTCCTTAGAGGTTCCTCCCGTCAGACCGGTAGACACTCCCTTGAGTTTCCTTGTGCCCAAATATAAACAATGGACAATGGTTTTACTTAGATTTTTGTTTTTTATCGTTACTCTTCCTGTCTGTTAAGTCCTCAAGCTCCGGTGTTACCAGGACCCAAACAATGCACTCTCAGTGTTCCCTGCTCTGAGGTCTAATGGTGGCTGCAGCATTTCCTGGCTTCCTATTTATCCTCGACACCTACCAAGCCCCTTGCTACTCAGGTACATTTTTCCATTTTACTCTGCTAGTCGTTACACTGAATTATTTTTTTTACAAAACAACAAACATCATATTTTACTTACTTTCTAAGTTTTCCCTAAGATCATTTAAATTTCTCAAATTACACATGTGAATAAAACACAAGCTGTCCACCAAGTTTTGGAATGACAGTTACATTTTAACATATATGAAGACATAAAAATGTGTGTGCAGTTCCACTACAAATTTACCTTGGCATTTCAAGGATTACAACAAGCTAATATGCAAAGGAACTGAGTTATCACCTCAGAATCTTATTTGAGCCATATCTCAAATTCTACTTAATTAAATATACAGTTAAACCAATATGAGTAGGTACTTGAAAAAGACAATATTTCTATGTTTCATTATATATAGGAGTAGCCCTCTTTTTCCATCCTATTGTGTATAAAACCATTTACTCTAGAGCCCTAATACTGATGATTTCCTTCTTTGTCTCCATACTTAGTGATTTGATGGCATTACTTCCTATTTCTTGCTTTTGAATTTTAGGCTATTATCTACTGGCTTTCCCTGGTGGAAAAGTATGGCTTTCTTTTCTCTAACCTGACCCATCACCACCCTAGCTTAGCCCCATCCTTGGATCCTAGTTTGATGTTAACTGAGATGAGATCATTATTCAGAGTTCACACTGCTAGAGCACTGCTCACATTTCAATCCTTGGTGACTCATTGTCTTCTAGAGACCATACTTGTCTCTAGGCACTGATTTTACAATCATGAAATCAAAATAAGTCTTCATCTACTCAGGCTGCCATAACAAAATACCCCAGACTGGGTGGATACACAAGAGGAATTTACTTTCTCATGGTTTCAAGGGCCAGAATTCCAAGAGCAAGGTCCCAGCAGCGTGGGATTTACCCCACTTCTGTCCTTCACCAGAGACACCTGCCTGTGCAGGCTCCTCACAAGGCCATCCTGTGCTCATGTTCCCTAGTGTAGAGTCCAAATTCTCTCCTCCTATGAAGACATCAGTCATTAGATGAGGAAGGACCTCAATGGTTTCATTTTAACTTAATTTCCTAATTAAAAGCTCTGTGTCCAAACAAAAGTCAACAGAAGTTGTCAGAGTTAGGGCTTCATCTTGTAAGTTTGAAGAGTACGCCTGAGTCAAGAATATTGGTGGAGGAGTGGAAATGTCTTTTCCCCATGTGCACCCACATCAGGTAACAGTGTTTCCATGTCTTCCCAAAAGCAGCCCTCTAGAAAGCCTCTAGGTGCTGTAGGCGAATACCCACACTGAGACTCTGCTGTTGAGCTGTGGACCCCAAATCGGCATTCCTGATACGCTTACTTCTCTGCCCTTGAGTACCGAATCCAGTTCTGCTTGCTCTCACTTTGATTTCATAACCACTTCTTTTTTTTCTGGTCTTTTGGAGACAGGGTCTCCCTCTAGCCCTAGCTGTCCTGGAACTCACTATGAAGACCAGGCTGGCCTATAACTCACAGACACCCCCCTGCCTCTGCCTCCTGAGTGTTGGGATTAAAGGTGCGAATCACCACACCCAGCATAACCACATCTTTTAATACCTCAAGAGTGTATATTCTGTGAAAAAGTAATCTCCACAAAAATCAAATAACTTTTTTTTTCATTTTCAAGAAAACTTTTCCTGGGATATAGAATTCTAACTGGAAATCATGGTTTTTGTTTGTTTGTTTTTAAAGAAATTTAAAAGCATTATCTTTTTAAATTTTTTTTTTAATTTTTAAATTTTAAAGAAATTTAAAAGCATTATCTTTTTAAATTTTTTTTTTAATTTTTAAATTTTAAAGAAATTTAAAAGCATGATCTTTTGATAAAGACTTCTGACTTCTGGTACCACTGTTGAGCAGACATGTATGGCGTTCCACTGCAAACGTCATCATTTTTTTCTGCACTATCATGTCAAGGGTTACATAACACTAATATAAAACAGATCCATTTATCTTCTCAAAAGAAAACAAGGCTCAAAACAACTGGATTCTGCATGTGTAGTTCTGAAGGGTTTCTTCTTTTCCTCCTATTATCCGTGTTCCTCGTGCTAGCTTTCCTCCCTCCCTCGGTCCTTCTCCCTCTGCAGCCGGTTTAGCCCTGGATAGTCATTAAGCTACAGTCAGCAAGTTTTGTCCATTTCACAACTTCAGCCCCCAAATCTGGTTGGATTGGATTGAAATCATATTTCCACTGGAGTCTAGAATCACTGAGGCAATTCGTTCTCAGTTCCCCTTCCTTGACTTCCTAATATGCAGATATTATTTATCCTGCCTACTCCTCTAATTTTCTCACATTTTATCTCTTCTTTTTCAGTCAGTTTTATAACGCATTTTACTTTTCTCCGTGTGTCCAACGTCCTCAGGTTTATTTCCCAGTCCTCTTAAATCTTCACTTGTTATCCTCGATTTGATTTCTGAGTGTTATCTGAATTTCTGCTGTGTTTTGTTGTATAGTGTATTATTCTTGTTTGATCTAAGTAGCATGATCTCACATCCTTCTTAAGAACATTTATTGCATTTTCTCTTATGATGGACTGCTTCCCCAGAAAACTTTTTTTGGAGAAATATAAAAAACACTCAGACAACTTGTTCTCAGTCCCTTACATTTAGCATGCACTAAGACCCACAACTATATCTACTGTCATAGAAAGCTAAGGTTCCCTTGCCAGAAGCAGCTTATTTCCCATATCTTCCTCTCTCAATGGAAATTCAAATTCCCTCCTGGTTGGGTCAGTTGTCACTCGTCTACTTGGTTTCTAACCTCTAAAATTCTTCCAGTGTTTTCTCATCTACGAAACCATTAGTCTTTATGTGCACTTACACACACGCAGGAAATACTCATACACATAAAAAGAATGATATATTTTTTAAAAAAGAATGTCGATTTAAAATTCATAAAATGAATGAGACATTCAGGTAAATTACAGTGAACATGTTACATAGCTGACCGTATCCATGATTAGCACACAAAATTCATATAACACAAAGTGTGTCTGTTTGCTGCTTTAAAATGCTTACAACATGTACTCTAAAGCGCTGCACAATTTTCTGTTGAAATATTCTCATTTGTGCGAGCATCACTAATAAGCCTGGAGCTGAGCTTATAGGGTTAGAAATAGCAAAAATAAGTATTTAATCAACATGAAAATAAAGCACTTTAAGTAAATAATACAGTTAAAGTACCTTTTAGAAGAAAGCATAGTTTAATAATTCATTTAACTTAATGAATTTGGTTTGTAGAAATTTTGGCATTAAAAAAAAAAACGCAGAAATTCTGTAAGTCAAAAGTTATCAAACTGACTCTCTCTGGTTCTTTTACAGCCACACCAATGCCCAGTTCCTATTCTACGGTTCTCAAAGAGAACTTTCACAAGTGCATATATTTTTAAGAAACTCTCCACTTGATTCCATTACAAACTGCCAGAACCATCGGCCTTCTTTTGCTGTTGAAGTGGAGGTTGCCTTAATGAAACTGCACTTTGTAGGACATAATTTATCTAGACGATTCCTAGAAACTAGATCAAGAGCACTTTTTTTTGGGGGGGGGGTAAAGTGAACAATGACACATTTTTTATTTTAGGGCAAACAAAAGTAAGAAATCATTGCTAAACATTAGTAAAAAATTTCAGCCTAGGTATATTTCATTAAAAAACCAAAGTAAGAGAAAGACTTCTGGGGTGGAAAGTGCAACTTGCTAAAGGAGATGTGGGAAACTTACAGAGGACGTTCTATCCACCTCACAGCGGCTGCTCAGGATGAAACAGGCTTCAGCATCATCCATCCTAAAGATGTACAGGAAACAGAATAATCACACTGAAACACTATTGGAATGATAGAACTTCAATAGATGCTCCAGAATGTACACACGGGTAATGTGTATCCTTAGACTTAAGGGAAAGTTGGATTTTCAGCAGAGCATGACAGTTTTGAGGGGGAAAAGCTGCACTCTCTCTATAGCTCAAAATTTTGTGGCAGAAATAAAGAAGCTAAAAGTTGTCTTCCTTAGTATTCATGTATTTTCATAAATATGAATTGCATACATTAAGGGGTGATATTGACCTGCATTAATCCATTTTTACATTAATTTTATATATTTTAAACAAAACATTAGTTGTATGTTGCAATTTCATGCCATTTATTCTTTGTATTTTTTTATTGAAGTTTTTGTGCATTTCATACAGAACAGCCCAATCTTAATTACCATATTCCCCCCCATTGGCACCCTCCCAGAGCCCCCCACTTAACTCATTTTTAACTACAATGTCACAATCAAAGAAAGAGAAAAGAATTGAGCTGCTTAGCATTTATAAGTAAAATTCTTCTATATACTTACGTTTCTTGGAGATGACTGAACTATTTGTTCCAAAACCTTTCTTTTCATGGTAAGGTTTATGATTCTTAAACTTAGTAATTATATATTTAGTCTAAGATAAATAGGATATGAAAACATAGGGATGTTTGTTTTTAAATGAAGAATGGTTTATCTTTCTGGTACACTGTGATAAAGTAAATGTCTTCAAAAATGTTTTCTATGGCAGAGAGAAGTAAAAATCTCAAGAAATTAATCCAAACCAAACCAAAAAACATCCAGTCTTGATTTCTAAAATAACATGAGCATTGGATAAGATTTTCAAAGCACCATTTACAGGAAAACATTCAAGTCTCGCCGCTGACCTTTGGGACTCATTTGGAAAATCGTACTCCTTATTCCTTGCATGGGAAATTGTGATCAAGCACGTATTCATTAATATGAAATCCCAAATATTTAACATGGCATTAAGATTAGAGATAAACATAAAGGTTGATATTGTCCTTCTCACTTCCTTTTAACCCCGATTTTGACAAGCATCACTGGCCACCACCCTGGTGTCAACTCTCTCCTTGTATTGTCTCATTTTCATTCCTGTGGAGTTTCCTATAAATGGGATGACTTCTGCGGTGGAGAATTATTTCAGCATGCTTAATGGCATTTCTATTCATTCTCAATAGTATCTAATAGCTTAGATACTTACAGCTAAAACAAATGACTCAGATTCACTTCTTAGAAAAAAAAGTTCCCTGTTTCACAGATTCATATCAACACATGATGGACATGCTTACTGTATGAAGAACTGAACTCATAGAATCCTTAAAGGAGACTGATTATCCAGACAAAAAAAATATACTGATCAAACCATATGATATCAAAGCAATCTCCTAAGATCCCGAAACAATGAGATACACAACAAATGAGAAAAACTCAATCCCTGATTCACTTGTATTAAGAATATCTGAGGATTTGTAGAGCTATTTCAGATATAGTATTTTACACCCAAATAAGAAATATGCCAGCCTGGAGAGATGGCTCAGTGGGTAAGAGCACTGGCTGCTCTTGCAGAAGACTGGGGTTTGTTTTGCAGTACCCACATGGCGGCTATCAACTATTTGTAACTACAGGTCCAGGGAATCTGATGCCCTTTTCTGACCTTGGTGGGCAATGCACAAAATGAGTGACTTACATATATAAATGCAGGAAAAACACTCATACATATAAAATAAAATTATAAATAAAATATTAAAAAATAAGAGATATACTATAAGACATTTAACTTCCAGTCATGCTCCATTCATTTTATTGTGATAGTTTCTACTGACATTTAGTTTCTGAAATCCAATAATTGGGGAAAAAAACGTATCTGAATTTATTTTATTTAATAATTTATTTATTTTATTGTTAATAAATCATAAGGAATTCAGAATTCCCCATTAATATTCGCTTCTAGGACACAGCAGCAAAGAAGAGAAACCTTCTTTTATTCTTTACATCATCCCTTTCACACATGTGCACACATACACACAAATGCACACATCTACACACACTTAGGCCATGGGGTGGGGAAATTTATTTTTTAAAAACTTACAATATTATATTTGAGGAGGAAGTTTGAAATCTAAAACAGTACATAAGAACATTCAAGAATAAACATTAGACATGTTTAAAACTTTAAAAGCAAGAGAAACTATCTAGCAAAGCCCTGCTTGTAGAGATTTCTCTAGTTTCCTAAATTAACAGTTGTTTTATGTTAGCCCTGATACCCTGGTGACCTCAGTCTGCCCAGCCATGCTCTTACTCTGCAGCTGAGGTAGAATGCCCATTTCCCATAACACACGATTAGACTGTCTCACTTTTTAAGCCTGTTGATGGGCACATGCACAATATGAGAGCAACTTTCAAGACCTTTCACCCTCCTGATTCCTCCAGCCCTGAGGAACACTTTAGACTCCCAGACAGAAGACAAGACCTGTTGCCTGGCACATGCTGCAGCCTCCTTAAAATTCAAACCCTTACTCATTGTGTTGATATCGCACATAATGCTCATTCCAGGATTTTTTATTTGGGGATTAAAAGAAGTATTGTGAGATTTGGAGACTTCTCTAATGGGAATATGGGGCATCTTGTCCATCTCTGAAAGCTCGAGAAATTTTGTCACACCAACTTATTGCAACGTGTAGAAACATCCTGTCCTCCTAAACATCTGTCCTAAAACAAAACTAAGAAAGACAATTTTATATCTTTAACATTTTTATTTCATCATCAACAACAGAACTGTATTTCATATTTAAACAAGCTTAAAATTTGAAAGAAAAGTTATCAAAGCATTCAAAATTGTAAGATGAAAAATGGAAAGCAGCTAAGAATGCCTACTTTGCTCTCAATAGATCCTGATCTTTAAGGGCGGAGCCTTGAAGGTAGATAACTCTTTGGGACCACATTGGAATCTGCAGCACCCTTCGGACTTGCACGTCCATTTCCGTAGGACACAAAATCACCACATAATAATCCTATTCAAAAGAAAATGGACAATAGTGCAGAACCAGGAATGCTTACAGTTATCCTTTGGTGAACATAAAATACTTAAGGATTTTTCTTATATTATGAAAACAGTGATTTATTGCTAATAAATAAAAGATCACATTTAAACCTTAGAAATAAGTTAACATTTAGCGACAATAAACCTAAGTGAGTTATGTAAAATATCACTTATCTTGATCTTGTCAATGACATCAGTACCACAGAGGAAGACATTCCTCACTTATATTCTGCACACCCCTGCAGCCTGTGAAGGGGTCAGCTATCACTATGGAATGATCCTAAAATACACACTGAATTTGGGGCCAAAATGTTTAGGAACCAATTCATACTTGAAGTTGTTACTTTTAGAACAAAAATACTGATACTCAATTAAATCATATTATTATGAGCTGGCATATCTGTGTAATTTTGAATAACTATTTTAAAAAGTAAGAGTTACTAACTAGGCTGACTAGACCTCAGAGGATGGACTTGACTGGGGAATGTCTGGGGACACTGACTTGACACAGTGAGCCTTAACAGGGATAACAGAGTATATGGACTCCAATAGAGGCTTGGGGGTGCTATGAGAGGGTGCCAGTGGGGATTGGCATACAAAGATAATTAGGATTGATTGAGATGTTCTGTAGAAAATACACAAAAATTCAATAATTTTTTTAAAAGTGTTAGTAGAAATATTGAAAACAATAAATAATAAAAGAAGTAAGTTCATGTCAAAATAGGTTAAAATGTATCATCATATAAAGAAATATGTAAATGTGTTCTAAATGATAACATGGCTTAAAACAAACTAATCTATAAGAATTGAAATTCTCTGGTAACCATTCTCTAATTAGTTGGCATAAAACAGATCTGCTGCCAAATTTTTAGAGTTAAGAATTCTCTTCACTGGGGATGGAGAAATGGCTCAGTGGTTAAGATCACCGGCTGCCCTTGCAGAGAACCTGAATTTGGTTCCCAGTACCCACATGGAGGCTAGCAATCATTGATTGCTCCAGTTCAAGGGGATCCACCACCCTCTTTTGGCCTCTGTGGGCATTGCATGACACAGGCTCACTTACATACATGCAGACAAAACAATCATACACATAAAAATAAGTAAATTGAAAAAAAACTGTAAAAAGAATTCTCTACATTGTTACTAAACAAAGGTAATTACTGCAGGATCCAATTATACCCAAATATATTTTCTAATGATATACAAAGAGAAAACTAAATTATGGAAAATTTAATAAACATAGGCTAAATAACCATCAAAATGCAAAATAATTTATGTAAAATCAAACACTAGAAATTTATCATTTATAATTTATATTCAAAGGGTATCCAAAATATTCACAAATCTATGCACTTTACTTGAAAAGAATAATTAGATGCACTCAGCATCGGGTTTGACTCAGGTTTGGCTCAGCATCTTCACAGAAACAAATTGAGGAAATGCATAGGGCATTGAGTAGAAAAGAAAATTACCTAAGTCTGCTTTGGCCCTGTATCCTGAAAAGCAAAAATACCCAAAGATTTTATCTAAACAAATATACAAGGTGATTTTTCTGAAGTCATGGTTTTAATTCATCTCACTATTTTCCAATTTTGGAAACTTAAAAACTACTCTTAATAGTACCTAGTTATACTCCAGAACATGAATAAAGGAGAAGGAAACTTCCAGACTGCCATATTCCCATCGGCAATACTGCATACAGCTGCAATTTTCAAAGGAATTGATGATCCCGAAATGAGTTCTTGATTGTCTTATTATATTTTATGTTAAAATTCAGTTTTATAAAAGATCATTTACGCTTTACCCAAGAAAGTAAAATAAATCCTTTAATTTAAAGAAAAGCCTTCATTCCAGCAATAACAAAATCCATCTGTCTTTTAGTATAGATACAGAAGGAAATCCAAATGCTCTTTATTCCTATAGCATTTTTTCTATGTTCTTGGTTATATTTGTAGCTTTTCATTTACCCTTTTTAAATTTGAATTTATAAATAAAAATCCTCCAGAATTGAGGCTGCACCATTAGTTACTTGACTTTGACAATGTGTTAGTAGGTATGATCCAGTATTTTGTTTAATATAATTCAAATGTACCTGTAGTCTTGGGTGAGCATAGAATTCATTTAGAAAATCCATAAGTAAGTCAATCTTCAGAGAGCTGACACACAGGACAACATGCTTGTCAGTCTGAGCTCTGTGTCGACTGTAGTTTCCACCTGACTTTTGTCTCTCCATCCACAAATAGGCCAATTGCTCAAACTGTAATGCATTTTCCACATGTGAATAAAAAAAAAATCAGGCATGAAAGTGAAAAAAAAAAGAATTGCAGTGTATCCTCTGTTATCAGGTGCAGGACATTTCTTAAGCTTTAACTTCCTGTGATTCTAATTAGCCACCTTCATTTTAACAATAGGCTTATATGATTTCTCCAGGAGTGAAAAATGTATCCCAGGGGCTGAAAGTCTCCAAGGAAACATATTATAGTGGTTTTTCTATTTTACCATAGTAGGCTGCTAAAAAGCTTGCCCATCTGCTTTGTGTCCATTGAGTTATGATGTAATCATGCACTGAGTTAATCATACATCATGCACTAAGTTAAAGAGAACAACTCCACTGGCATTGCTGCAATTCTTCTGCTCCTTTGTGTTGTATGGGAGACAGCTCTGAGTATGGCGGCATACACAACAGCCACAGTCTAGCTGTCCAACTGATGCCATAGGGTGGTGCAGGATGCAAAGAAGAAATGCGAAGGAGGAAGACATGAGAGTGCGGATGTAGTTTTTTTGCCTACAAAATGTTCTTTTACAATCTGCATCCAGATTCCCTATTGGCAATTTGGGTAACCTCTTCAGAGGATGGTGTAATAAGAATAGGAGGTAGAAATTAGCTAGGCAGTTAGGGTAAAAAGACCCCAAAGAAAATGAGCCAGTTTCTTTCTTGGCTAAAAGTCAAAATGTCCTTGGGGCTTTTAGCAACTTACTCTGTTCCAAAGACCAAAAATGTTAGAAGTATTTGGGAGCTTTTATCTAACCCCTAAAAGATTTTATGGTTACCTCTTCAGAGGGGGGAATGTTAGAGTAGCAAAAAGCCTCATAAATTTAACTGGTCCAGACTAGGTCCTTAGTCTATCTGTTAGAGGACCCAACTTTCCAGTCTCACTGGTCAATTACCTGGTAATAGAACCACCCCTAGGAAGGCAGATTCACCTTAAGTTATGCTAAATTGATGTGCAGAATACCTGGTGCTTAATGAGGTTGTGAATTTTTCCTGCCTGGAACTAGTGCAGATCTCTGCAGAACTTCTGGACCAGCCACAGTCATGAAGGTCTCTGTAAGTCTATCTGCTTTCCTAAATTTTTCAGGAAAGCATAATTTCTCCTTTTCTTCTTCATACCTTTCTTACTAAACATGCTTTCTTTAAGATTTGGGCTGCCCCCAGCATTTCGTAGTATTTCTTTACTTTTTCTCTAAAGCTTCCTTCTCTCAGCCATGTGGCCAGTAGCTGCCAAGGTTATCAGCTCTCTGGCCTGGATGATTTTTCTTTAAGATTCTAATAAAATTAAAAATATTCATTTGCATATACTGTGGTTAAGGTTGTGAAATGAACATACTTGTGGTAACCATATTGCATTATCAATCCATGGGCACTCAGGGTTCATTATTAGAAAAGGTTAGAGACTGTGTCTTCCTATCTTTGGTCACATTTTATATCTGTTCCTTTGCAACCCCCCATCTACTATCCAAAAGGCTGCAAAGTATTTATTTACCATGTCCAAATTTTGCTTTAGTTGATGAATATGAACAGTTAACTTTTAATCCATATAGTTTATGGCTTTTAGGTTTATTTTGATTTCTCAAATTTACTTCTTTAGTCTATCATCCTATAATTAAAAATTATACTATCCCATAATTAATAAGGTTGGATACTCAATATTTAGAAGAAAACATCTTGAAAAAGTGAAGCAAGATGTGAGCTCTTGATAACTTGGAACTTTAAGGAAAAATGAAACTCAGTATTTCCACCAAAATATGTGGAGGCATTTCTGAAACAATTTAAGTAACTGATTACGTCTACTAATGGCATGTATTAGGATATTATGATTATATAAAATATCCCATACTTTTTATTAAGGGAAAAGATTCAATTTTTCTTGACTTTCCACATTTCTACAGACGTTAACATGACTGCCTTTACCTGTATGGGGAGAACCACAAGAGCAACACAGATCATAGCAACGACAAATAGCTTGGAGGACCATGTTTCAGGAGTGACGTCCCCAAAACCCACTGTAGAAAATGTCACAATGCAGAAATAAAGAGAGTCAAAAAGATTGAGCTTCTTCCCAATTCGTTCCAGATGCTGAATTCCACAAATGCTAAAAGAGAAAATATCCATTAAAATTAAACTTCCAAAATGGACACATGATTTTTTTCATTATTCTTTAAAAACCACACATTATAAACACATTTTATAATTGGTCTCTTGGTTTACAGTTTTTCCCAGAACAATATAACTTAGAAGTTTTAAACCATATTAATGAGTTATTCTCTAATTCTGATTAATAGTCAAAAATGTTAGCCAAAATACCACAAAATATAACCTTTTCTATTCATAGTCATTAATGTAAAACACTGAATTTCATGGGTAATGTCCACAGATACTTAATGCTGCCAAAGTAACAGAAAAACAGAAATTGCTAAGTCTAATTTCCATCAAAAAGACTAAAGTCTTTTATTGTTTAATTAAGGAGTAAAAGGAATATATAAATGTGTATGTGGACATAAACAGTAAACATGTGACTTAACAATAATCAACTACTATAGGTTGAATGTTGTCTCTGTGAAAATTGAGGTTGAAATTGATTTTCCATGTAACTTTACTAAGATGGGGTACCTTAAGATGTCCCCACCCTCACAAAATGGATGACTGCCATTATTGTGAGAAGCAGTGTGTTATTAGGAGGATAGTTTACCCTGTCTTGTGCAATGTCTACTTGTTCCCTGCAACTGTATATGCTATCTGGTCACTATTTTATGATGCAATAAGAAGAAACCAACCAAAGTCCAGCACCTTAATGCTAGACTCCTCAGACTTGAAAATTTGGATATAATAAATGTCTGTTTACTATGAATTATCTGGTCACAGGTATCCTGTCATAATGCCACAGAGGAAATTAACACACAAAATGACTTTCACAAGGACCTAAGGAAGGAAAGCAATTTCTGAAATGAAAGAAGCAACATAGAAGCTATTAATAATACAATATGCCCACAAATTATGACTGCTAAAATAGCCTTATATATAGTACCATTACTGACTTAAAAAATAAAACCAAAGTGGGACTATGAATGATAAATATTGAGCATATTGGAGAGCAATAATACATTTACAACAAGAAAATTCATGTACCATGAGAGTGATTTGAATGATGTTGTCCTGCAACAATGCAGATGCATTAAAGCATGAGCATTTAGGAAGTGAAAGGTCATGAAGGTGGAATCCTCACACATCACAAAACATCTGAGGAGAAACTCTGCCATGTGAGGGACAGCAAGAGACACTGTCTTGGAATTAGAAAGAACACTTCCACCAGACAACAAGTGTGCCAGGGCCTGTTTGACATCTTAGCCTATGAAACTGCTAGAAACAAAATTATGTAGTATAGATTATTTATCCTCATACATTTTACAGTAATGGACAAATGCAGATATCAATACTGAGAAATGATTTCTGGCTTAATGAATACCTGGATCTGTGAAAGCAGCTTTGGAACTAGGGATTTTGTGCAGATCCTGGAAGACTTTGGGGGACTTGGAGGAAAAGACTAGATTGCATTGAAGGCAGGGCTCAGGGCAGTTCTTTCAGGAGTTGGGAGAATAGGAAAGTATCAGAAGATTCTTAAACAGTCATCATTAGAATGCTGGTTAATGACTGTACATTCAAGGCCATCTTGATCAGTGACTGGTGAGAAATATTTCTTCGAGAAGACGGGGATAATCATATCTATATCTAAGCAGGAGAGCATGGCTGCCCTACATCCATGGCCTAGTTCTTTGTGAAAGGCAGAATTTAAAAGTGATGAACTAGAATATTGGCAGAAGAAATCTCTAAGCAAAATGCTTTGAATGTTTCAATGGCATCTCCTGACTGTAGGCTAAAATGAGAAGAGTGAAATGGATTAAAGATAGAATTTATGGCCAAAAGGGAAACAGAGCATACAGATTTAGAAGATTATCTGCCCAGCCAGATTGGGAAGGAGTGCTTGGGAGAAAACACAAAAGAGGGGAGATTCATATGTAAAGGGAAGCAAGGTGCTATTCAGCCATTGATAAGAACAAACCGAAGTCATCCCAGAGACCTTTGAAACCACAATGAACATCCCAGGCCAAGAGTCCCAATGTCTGTGGTGTGTTAGGGAGCACTCCTCTAGAGGACACAGGTGATCAACTTTGGCAGTGTGCTCATGGGACAAATACTAATGGTGTGCAGAGGGCATGATTTGGGAAGGACTACCTACTATTTCAACTAAGGGTGGAGTTCCTTTAGAAACCTCTTAACTGTACAGTCACATGTCTGCAATAACAGCCTTGGAAGTTGAGCATTCTCATACTAGCAATTGTGAAGGTTCTTCTGTGGGCTGCGCCCATAAAACAAAGAACAAACAAAACAAAACAAAACAAAAAAAAAACATTGCTGTGGGAATTCCAAATGCCTTGGGAACCAACCACTGTTCAGTATGTCTAGAAGTTAAGACACGAGGTAACAAGGAGTTATCGTCAAACCTGAAGACTTTGTTTTGCTTGCCTTCTTTTATTTTGAACTTACCTAGTAGTAGAAGCTTTTAGAGCTACTGGGATGTAGTGAAATGTTTCTGACTGACTGCTTGCTTGTTTTTCTTAAGAAAAACGAGTTTGGCCTTCCAAAATTCATGTTGAAACCTAACTGTCCAATGCAACAATATCAGGAAATGCCACCTTTAGAGAGATTAAGTCATCAGCACAGGCCTCATGAATAGAACACTGATCTTATAAAATACTTGACAGAACAAGCCAGGATCCTTTTGCCCCTTCACTTTTCACTATGTGAACACACACCAACAACTCCTAGAAGTAGAGAGACTACCCCGGGCAGACCCAAAATCTGTGGACCTTGACCTTGAATAAACAAGCACCTGGAACAGAGAAAGAAAATTATGCCTTTATGAGTTATCCATTCTCAGATATTTTTGTAGCAGCACAAATGGGAAAATATAATAAAAGTACTATTCAGGAAAGATGTTTTTTTTGAGGAGGCACAGAGAAGAAAGAAAGGAAGGAAAGAAGGAAGGAAGGAAGGAAGGAAGGAAGGAAGGAAGGAAGGAAGGAAGGACGGAAGGGAAAAAGAGGTGAAAGGAGAGGAGAGGAGAAGAGTTGAGGAAGGAGGGAGGGAGGGAGAAGGAAGAATCACAGAGGGGGAATCAAGTACTGATACAAGTTATAACATGCATATATGGCAAAATATTGCTGAGTGACAGAAGGCCCATGGAAAAGAACACACGCACTTCTGTTGATAGGCAATATCCAGAGAAGAGTCGGAAAGCAGATAAACAGTTGCCTGGACTGAGAGCAGAATTGTGATGATGTAACTGCTCTAAAAGCGGGTTATGGTGATGGCTGCGCAACTCAGTAAATATATTCAAATACGATTAAATTTACACTTAAAATGAGTGAATATGATGATGTGTAAATTATGCTTCTACAAATCTGTTTAAAAATCAGTTTATGTTTTAGTACAGTCACTATAGCTTCTGTGTACAAGCAGACAGCTCAACTATGAGGACTAAGAAGCAATAAAGTAATATTTTGTTTAAATACTAGAAATTCATTTCCCAGAACTTTAAAGACAATCTGCTTCTCTAAATCATGTCAAAACACCTATTTAAAAAAAAAAAAAAACCTTTTTCTGTAATATGAAAACAAACTGCTGAATAATTAATTGGATAGAAGATGTAAAGGGTAGATTTATAGGGAGACATACCAAGAATAAGGAAAGAGAAGATGGGGCTGGAGTGTTTGCTCAGTGGTTAAGAGCACTGGCTACTCTTGCAGAGGACCTAGGTTTGGTTCCCAGCACCCACATGATGACTGACAAACCGTTCGTAACTCCAGTTCCAGAGGATTTAAACACATTCTCCTGATCTCTGTGGGCATTGCAAAACATGAGTGTACTTACACTTATACACGTAAAATAAAAATAATAAAATATTTTTTAAAAAAAGAAAAGAGAAAGCAATACAAGGTGCTCAAGGATGTTGTTTAGTTCTATTTCTGAAACCAGCCTTTTTTTCCCATTCCACATCTATGAAATGGTTCAGAAAATTTGTGTAGGAATTGTGTAAGGCACAAGCACATCCAAACCAGTAAGAAGAATCATCCATTTCTTTGCCCAGCTTCCCCTATGCAATATTGCCACAGTAATAAAGATATTGACACAGAATTTTATATGACCAAAGGGAAAAATGCATATTAAAACAGATGTTCCATGCTCTGTACCATTAGCTTCTAAAACTTTATTTCTAATAATATGTATTTTATAAAGTGAAAATTTACACATAACTCAAAAATGTTCCTACATGTATTTATCTCTCTCTCTGTGTGTGTGTGTGTGTGTGTGTGTGTGTGTGTGTGCAGGTGTGCACATGAAAGTCAGAGGACAACTTGTAGAAGTCAGTTCAGTTCTCTCCTTCCATTATGTCAGACCTAAGTATTGAACTCTGTGCCTTTACCCACTGATCCATTTCAATTACTCTATATAGAATTTTTATATTTCACATAAAATAGAATAAAAAGAATTGAGTTTATCTACATATTTTAAGGATTCAAATGTTTTCTGAGAGTTATCTATATTTTGGTTGAACGTACATTAAAAAACAATACTTGATGAGACATAAAATAGTCATTTTGTAATGCAGGTATATGTTATCTAGACTAAGTAACAAGAAAAATTATCCTACTGTGCTTTTTAAGCTTTGATTTCTCCATTTTTATCTGTATCTTACCCATGACAGCCATCATCATGTTAGTCAAACACAGCTTGTACACCCTTTGATCTCAGGTCTCAAAAAGCCAGTAGACTCTGACTGGTTACATGGCATTCTTTATCTGTGGTATCCCAAGACTTGAGAGCTTGCCAGCTCCTTCTTAAAACCCTAAGACTATCTCACAGATAAGTTGGGTCACTCCATCAGAGCCCACCTCCAACTCCCATCATGGAAGTTAGGTCATGTGGCTCCTCCACTTGTCAGCCTGTCAAACAACTAAAGCTGGAAGAGCAATAGCAAGGAAGGCTAGCTCTGAGAAACGCCTTGGTGATCAACCACAGAACTGTGAGAAGTAA